TACTGTGGACATTCTGCCCACATGGGATATTATGGAATTTGCCTTCTTCTTTGTGAGATAATCATCAAAGCAACCACGCTCTTTTTTAGATTAAGCATTTGACAGTGATTTCTTGCCTTTCAAATATATTACCTAGTGACAGAGTGCAATAAAATATCAGAACACACACAAGAACCAGGTGTGCAGCAATTAGCAATTGCTAACTTTATAAAGAAACATATTTTACAAGTCATAAAAATCAGATGCAGACACATGGACAATGTAAACCATAACAGAAGATCAAAGAGAGTTTTCCCCTAATGCATTTAGGAGAAGAATGGCTGATCTCTACTTTTTAATTACATTGTCACATACATTTGGCGACCACTCACGAACGCACCTTCCTCAGGGCTATAAGACAAACACAGATGATGTAACAGTTGCTGGAAACGTTTGCAGATTTTAACTTGATACCAGAATGGGAAATCCATGCGACATACTATTGGTAAGCAACTCAATTTAATCTCTTTCAGAACATTTACATCCTTAAAACTACTAGCTACTAGGTGCTCTAAGTCCTTGCAACTTAAAGTGTGGCCGGTGGTCCAGGCACACCTGCACCACCTGAGACACAGTGGTTAAGCTGACAATTTCTGAACCAGTTTGGATCATAAAGCTTCACTGATGTGATCCATAAGCCCTATTTTTAAATCTTCTCTTCTTTAAGTCACCCAGGTGCTTGTCAATCAAGACAAAAAAATCACACTTGATAATCATTTTCAGAAACCCTCTCATTGTCCCAAGAGATGGAATATGAAGCTCCAAATACTGCATATGGATAAAAGCACGTATTTGGCTCAGTGCCTTAGAAAGGAATTAGGGGTTGGTGTTTATAAAGTGAAGAACTATATTTTACCAACACCATTACACAGGAATAAGATAATGAAGTTGTGCTTTATGAGAATCAGTCACTCTCACCAAACACTGTCTGCTCAGGCCCCTCCGTTCTACGAGGCACCGCCGAGTTCTCTGTGCCAGAAGATGGAAGGGCAGCTGGCAGTGAGGCGGAGATATGACCCCGGCTCATCCATGCACGTGCCCTGGGGTCACAAGTTCCCTGAAGGCTGTTCAAACAAGGCTGTGCCGTGAATGGAATTCTACTTGACCTGAAAGTTCTGGAAGTACTTACATTCCCAAAGTCATCTCAAAAAGTAGCACAGGAGTGACTGCTTTATGACACCTCACTCTAAATACCTACACATCAAAAGAAGGCACTGTTCTTCTACTTGGCTAAGTGGTTACATGTCCACATGATCAGAGAAAATATAAGAAGAAAATCTTACATAAACTGACATTCTGATCAACAGTGGCATTTCTTACTGTTGAGTCCCTGCTTGTTCAACAGGAAATACAATTGATTTTTTTAAAGATTTTATTTATTTATTTTTAGAAAGGGAAGGGAGGGAGAAAGAGAAAGAGAGAAACATCAATGTACAGTTGCTGGGGGCTGTGGCCTGAAACACAGGTATATGGCCTGACTGGGAATCGAACCTGCGACACTTTGATTCGCAGCTTGCGTTCAATCCACTGAGCTACGCCAGCCAGGGCTGAAATACAATTGATTTTTAAAACACCTTTCTATCTTCAAGGGAACGATATTTTTTTTAAATGGCGACAACAACATCAAACTTCAATTGGAAGAATTCTTTAGCTGGGATACCAGGTTTTACAATCCCTCCATTATCTGTTCTTGTGCAGAGCCAGAAAAAATAGCCACAAATTTAAGAGAACAACTGTCTTTGATTCATAATGAATTTGTGCCAAAATACTAAATGTGCTATTGTCTTTTCTTTTCTGACTTTGATGAGTGAAAGTGGGACAGAAACTCCAAACATGGCAGAAGTGAGGAGGCCGTGCACAAGAATGCGTCCTGGGGTTTCAATCTCACTGGGAGGCAGATTATTTTACGAGCCACCACTGTAGCCAGGGCCCTCGGGCAAAACAATTCTGATTCCTGAGACCCACTGTGGAAGCCTTTCAAAGAAAAAGCACTCATAGTTGTTCATGCTTATTGCTTGCAATAAGCAACAGAAAGCAAAATGTTTATTCCTAAAAGAAAGATCACGTCCCAGGGCCCAGGACAGAGGAGTTCCTCTATAACCATCTGGTTGCTTTCCTTTTTACTCCTGTTTACCTCAATTCAGGAGAAGTACCTTCCCCCAAAGAAATACAACGGCATTCAAAAATACTATTTCAAGGGCCAGGATAACTACACTTTGCAGAAAAGTTTCTGACAGAGGCTTTCGTTTTCAGCACTAGTGGTGGTGTCAAGAAATGATTTACGGGACTTTAGATCCCCAATCATCTTTAGCAAAGATCCCCAGAACCCCATCAAAAGAAATAAACTCTCAACATAAAGGCAGTCCTCTTGTAATATCTAGCTTCTTGGAAGACAAGACCCCTTCCAGCCAGACTGAAGCGCCAAAGCTGCTCTCACACTGATATCTGGGTGCTGCCGCTGCCCATTAATCTTTCCCTGTATATTAGAGAAAGCCAAGTCAAGTAGAAGTGCTAAATCTGAGGGGCTGGGAAGTGCCTAAGGTTGAATACTGGCCTCTTTACTCATTAATGGGAGTCCTCAGGAAAAACACTAGACCTAAATCTAAAACTGCCTTCATGTAAAAGTCACTGAGATTACCAGTGAACCTGGGGATGCAAATCTCTCTAAGCTGATGTGAGGACTATCCCTACAATGCCTGGAGGATCTAAACACCAGTGAGTACCCAGCAAACAGCTTCCTGAACCATCCTTGAATTTTCTTTTTACTGATTTGGAATCAATGATATGTGGTCCCCCCCTGTTAAGGCAGAAAAAGAAAAAAAAAACCCCAGCTGAATAACAAAATCACAGCTATAATAACAAGTGGGATTATATTTTGAGGAGTGTAATATATCCCTGAGCAAAGACATTTTTTATTTCACAAGTGATTAGGAAAATTCAGCAACCTGCATGGAGATCACAGAGTCCTCGGAATCTGTGTTCCCCTCTTCCAGTCTCAGTGGGTACAGTTCTGTGCAGAGAGTAAACACCTCCGCTTCTGTTCAGTTCTCCTTTCTTTATGTCGTACCCTAACTAAAGAGCTTCTCAGGGAAGAATAATGTTGCCTACTCTGTGTTGCTATAACAACACAGTTGCCAAAATAGTAGGCACACTGCAGGAGTCAGAATAGCCTCTTATAGATATTGTATCACTTCTGCTCCTGGCATATCCTCTGCTGGCTGCTAAGGGGCCTGGCTGAGGCCGCCAGAGACCACCAGAGTCCATACTAATTAAGGAAATGGAGAGGGGTTTTGAAAACTGCCGGGCTTCTCACATGCACAGACCCCCACTAGCCTGTGCTTCAGAGCTTCTGAAGAGTCCTCTCACTAATGAGGGAACAAATGGTGCCTTGATACTATTGGCAGGACTGTGTAGTATCTGTTGCATGAAGTTGAGTTTTTTACTAAATAATGAGTAGTTCAGGGCAGTAAAAAGAACGATGCCTGATTCTTAAAAAAGATTAGGTCTGTCACCTGGAAGAAGTTAGAAACTAAGACTTCGGAGTAAAAGAGAATATACAATCAGACAATGGCCACACCACAGGTGACAGCAGAACTCTGACCCTGACCTCCAGAGCAAACAGTTCAGGGAGCCAGAACACAATCCAGGCAGCAACTGGCCAACAATGGGCAGGACTTGAGTAGTAATTGACAGCTTCCCTATTTCTTTCTCCTAGCATCCAAGTCAGGGCCAACCACAGAAAGCCACACACACTCCCTCAACCAATCACATGAGATGCTGTTTTTCAGTAGCCCACCTCCAGCTTCTCCAGGTCAGAACTTACATGAAAATCTTTCTTTTCTTAACTGAAACCTTTCCCACCCCCCTGAATGTTTTAAGCCTCCACCAAAGGCAAGTGATGGAGGCTGGCCCCTGTGCCATTGCAAACTGAATAAAACAGCTCTTGTTCTCATTTGGGTGGTTTTTGCTCATTCCCTTAAGATTTATCTGTTTGATTTTGCTATGTCTAGCACAATAACTAGTTCAATTTTATGATTTGCAATGCTAAGGACTACGGAAACTTAAGCAATGCAATACTACCCTCGAGGCTTCTAGGTCACCCTAAAATCTGCCTTAAATCTGCCCTCAGCGAACTTCCAGACTCACCAAACCCATCTCCAACTCCTCCCCACTCCGCTTTATAGCTCTACCCATGACAAAGAATTACTTCCAGTCAGAGAGTGACCAACCATCCCAGTCTGCCCAGAACTGCCCCACTTTTAGCACTGACAGTCCTACCCTCCAGGAAACCCCCAGTTCTGGGCAGCCCAGGAGAGCTGACCATCCTGCGAGACACCGCAATGTGCCACGCTGTTCTGCAACTCAGTCACCGCAGATGCAATTCACTCCACCAGGAATCCTTTTTCACCACTGACAGGACATCAACCTGGGCGCTCCTCTCAATTTGCCAAGCCCTTGCCTAAAAGCCCACTCCTAGAATTAACCTCTCTGACAACAGCCCACCCCCTACCCGACCCCAAGCCGATGATCACTCCCTCCTCCATGCCTGCCACACTACAGCCTGTACATTTTTTATACATATGACATGGCACAGAGGTGACTTGATAACAGTGCTTAGACCCTCCTATACAACACATTCCTTGCAGGCAGGGTCCGTATCCTCTTCATCACTGTGTCCCCTCAGTGTCATCACACACCAGAGCCCATGTGTGTCTGTTTCGTGAGTAAATGAATATATGGGTGATTGAATGGTTGGTTTAGCTATTCATTCATTTGATATCATTATAAATACTTATTATTGAGTTTCTAAATATTAACAAATTAATTATTTACTAATGAATTAAATTGATCCTTACCAAAAAAAGTCCAAAAGTTCTAGGTTGAGCTGAAGGGACAGCATACGCTGAGTGCCTTACAAGAAATACATTCATTAGTCCATTTCGATTGCCCAGAGTACTTACCTCGATCTGGGTGGTGTTGTCCTGCCCATCATCCAGCAGCAGGTCTGTGAAGCTCCTGGGCTCTGGGGAGTCTTGGCCCATGCTCGCTCGGTTCGTGTCCACAGCCTTGAGGGAATCTGTGTTCCTTTTCCACCGGTGGCTGAATGTATGTGTGTCTACTTCTATCTCCTCTTCTGCTTGCGGGAGAGCCTGAGGAACTTGATGCTGCCAGTCTGTTTGAAAAGAAATAAAATAAGATATTACTACTTGCTAAGAATCACACACACACTATCAACTTGAGTAGGAAAAAAATTCTGCTAGTCATGAAAATAGAAAACTAACTCATACAAGTGAAATCTGTTTAATTGCAATATTTTGAGTTGGTATGCACATCTCTGAGTGGAATGCAATTTCAGGACACATCACAAGTTGCAACAATGGTTAATGTGCAGATGCAGCAGAGTCTCTAAAACAGATGTGCAGCCCTAAAGCAATGCATTTTTATTCGCTTTCTTCCCTGCCTTCCACACACACTTCATATACATTCTCCAGTTGTTCTGAGAAAACAAGCTGTAATCCAAACAAAGGAATGAAAACCAAATGATTCTCAGTCCATTTGAAAATAAAAGTCTGACCTAGTTAACATTTGAACTTCTATTTGTCTCATGTGAGCTGTGCTGAACCGCAAAGAGACACCCATGTGTTTGAATGGGTTAAATAATACACGGAATGATCTTCATGTAAATGTGCTAGCCTGCCTTGTAGCTCACAAGTCACACTTGGTTCACAGCTGAAGTCATTTAATAAGCAGCGCCCTCAGGAAGCATCACAAACGTTCTTGTTCACTTGTGCTGTTCCTACCTCGGAGTCTTGTCAGGGAGGCAAAGAGTGACAGTGATAGACATTTAGAGAAATGGATGGGAAGGCAAGGAGATCAAATCACAAAGGTATTCGAAAGCCATCTGCAGGGACTGGCCCCGCTCATCCTGCCACTGCAGGAGGGAAAATTAAATTTAATCATTACTCCTAGTCTTCCATTTCAGGAGGTCAGCAGGGGAAGGTGTAGCACAAGCATGAGAAATTCAGTTTCTGACTAAGAAGAACAGCCCTCTTCCACACAACTATTACCAAAAGATATGAATCGACAGGCTTTATAGCTGGCAGGATATGGCTTCAAAAAAAGCTATTGGAGCAGTGATTTAATTATAACTGTGATGTTCCCCTCCATGCAGGAACATTCCAAGAAGCCAAAATGTATTTCATGTGGCTTATAATACCACTGAATCAGCTATTTGCAACTCTAATAACTAAGGTAAAGCTACCAGTACTCACCATAGGCAACTAGTCTAAAATATCTCCCTTTTACCTCAAAAAAGTGGTAATTCTTCCAGACAGAGAGACTATTCTTTGGTTTCATTGTGAGAGCTTAAAAGATCCCCCACTGCCTGATGCTTTAGTGGATATGGCTTAGAGAGAAACACTATCACAGTGTCGGCAATCTAGACCTTTCCATGGGCTCATAAAATAATAGAATTTAAAAAAAACCATGGAGACAGGAATGGTCAAGAATGCCACAAAAATCACGAGAATGAAGCACTGTGTTCAATTCATAGAACTGTTGTAAGGCTGAAAAGAATTCATGTACTTTAAGGGTTGATCACAGTTGCCTCTCAGCCTCCAGGAAATGTTTCCTTTTTACACTGCTGTTTCTACTGGCATTTGAACCATGCTCAGTGAATGTGTGCTGAATGAATAAATGAATGAGTGAATGGGTGAATGAGCTGTTGATAGTCTCTTTGGACCAGGTAGAATTGCATAATAGGGGAAATACTGTACAAGGATTCAGGAAACCCTGGGTGGAATTTTTCCTGTTATGTTTGCTAGAAATGGGGTCTGGCATAATTCACAAAACTCTCTGTGCTTTAGTTACCCTATACTTTAACTGGGAATGAAAGTACCTCACCTGCAGAAGCGGGCTGCTCTTCCTGAGGGTGTATCAGGCTCTAAGACCTGATTCTAGGTAGAGAGCTACATAAAGCAATTTGATTTGCTTTATTTATACATTCTGCCTCATTACCAAAAATGTACAAGGAAGCTTACAACAAAAGTAAGCAATAAAAGTTTTATAAAAACCAAATTAAGACCTCCTAGCACAACACTTAGGTTAACTTTAGAGTTGTTTGTTTGCCTTGCACCGGGGGTGGTGGCTGTCTGCATACAAGTAGTCATGGAGGAATGATTGAAAATCTACATGGAGTCTTTGTTAGAAATAATCTAGACAAGAAACTAGCAAATGTGATGCAGCTAATAGATTAAACGGTCCTAGATATAAAAAAAAATTTAAATCACTCAAAGGAATAGCTTAAACCAGAGGTATTTTCCTCTGTAATGTAAATTAGGGAAACTATACTGAAAACTTCAAAGACTTAGACTTTATTAAAATCTTCAAAACAGAATTTCAAAGCAACCCTGGGTTTCCTTTAAATTGATATTATTGCTGGCTATTAGTTGACTGGTAATAATTTTATCGCTATCTTTTCAGATGTTTATAGCACAAGACAAATATAGTACTTTCCAGGATGCCCGTTAGGCCAGTAACAGCCACGCCCTGAGGTCCTGTCCCCTGCAGGGAGTGGGTGGGATATCTAACATGGGGAGCAGCTGTCTGCATAGGGATTGGATTTCTCAACTTCCTGAGTCCCCTCTCCTTCCTCATTTTCTCCCTGCTTTCTTACCCAAGATAAGAAATAAAAAGGAGTTGCAAAATTTAGGGAATATGAAGTTCATAGTCCCCATGGTGAATTAAAAAAGGCCATTTAGTAGACTGAGGTGGTACTAATGCATTAGCAGCCCACACAGAGTAAGCAAACCCAAACCTAAGCCTGCACATTCCTCAAGATGAAAGAATCAAAACCTAAAGACAACCAGTCACAAATAGCTTTCCCAAATCAAATAGATGCTTAAGCAATAACCAATCAAATAGTTTCCTTACTTCGCTTCTACCCTTTCTTCATAAGAGTCTCTCCCCTACCTCCTGTCCTTAGAGTGCTCTTGGTCATTTCTGGTTTGGTGCTCTTCCTTTGGAATCGGTTACTGCTCAGGTGAAGTTGAAATGTTTAATATGCTGAACGTCACCTTTTAACACCACTTATGCTGAAGTTTGGGATGTTTCACTAGTGTGTCACTCTTGTTTTTGCAGTGACCATTCAAACTCTGTCAGCAGGATTACTGGGGAAAGGAAATTGAGCAGACAGGTAGGCCTCTTGTATGAAACAACAACAAATGCTCACTCTAGCACTCACAAGGGTAGGTCTCTACGTAGCTGTGGAGTTTTGGTGTTTGTTCTTTTAAATTTTTAGCAGGGTCTTAGAAAATGTTTTCTCTTGCTTTACTGTCATATCAGCTATTGCAGTCATTGATGGGTTTGCCTCCATCATGGATGGGCTTGCTCCTCCTAAAATGTGCTGCCTTAAACCATGTAAATGATCAAAATGGATCACTTGCTGGCTCGAACTGTATTTACAAAAACATAAACAAAAATCTAAAGGAGGACCTGAGAGTTCTGTGATGAGAAAATTTGTGAGCTTTAGGTCCTGGAAAAACAAGGATTTTTTTTTTTGGTTGCTATTTTAGAACCAATTCTTTTCCTCTGTTTATGTTATTTATAAGCACGGCTACTCAACCATCCACAGAGGATGTGTCCCTGTATGTTCTTAATTCAGTAGTATGTGGTTCATCAAGACTGAAGTATGAAATTGGCTTAGATTTTGGTCCCATTTCAGAATCATTTTTAAAGAAGTCAAAATGGATGTTTTACAGGAATAAAGACTGAGAAAAACTGCCAAAACCAACCACAGGTTGGTTTATCTACACTGTAAATTATTCCTATACACTTCATGAGCTTTCAAACTGAAAAATATTTTAAATCACCACCAAAACAAATCACTGGAAGCAAGATGAAGGGATATATATAATGTAATTTTTCCTTTCCCAGCTGCAGCGAAAACAAAAGCAACAGGAGGGATCTTTGAATTGTGTGTTTGAACAGACTGTTTGCTTCCTGACCACTGTATGTTAATTAAACCACCAGTAGAAGACCTTCAAAGGTGGTTTTCTCCAACATATTTTGCTATAGCTGTTAATCACATAGCTCATGGGAACATTAAATATATCTAATGACTCCCACTTGGATATTAAGAGAGAAAGCTTAAGGACATAATTTTTTTGTATATAACAAGTAAGTTGATCTTAACACATTCTTGAAATATTTTATTCAGTTAAAATAGCCAATAAACTGTTTTTGAAGAAGGTACTTCATTATATTTCAAATAGAATATCACTATGAAATCCAATAATGTCTAGTTAATCAAAGTAAAAGGGGAAACACATGTATATTTTCAAATTATTTCATGCAAACCTTGAAAGTCTATTTTGTGCCATCATACACTATAAAATGAAATAACATAAAATAATACTGAAACAAAAACAAAGAAAACTGTACTTGGCTGGATATGCTCATATTTGTGTTACCTTAATGACCTTATTTAAATACTTCGCATTTACTTATGATATGTGTTGAAATCATCTCTAAACCCATTTCTTAAGTCTTGCATACAAATCACATGCACAAAATGCATCAAACCACCAAGAAGTAATTACATAAATTGAGGTGAATCTTATGAAATTAGGGTCTGTCAAAACCACACTTTTGACAAGCACTTTGGTCTACACTTTACAAGGGAACAAAATCACCTCTTTGAATCCTCTGTGGAAACATTAAGATTTCTCACAGCAAAAAGATTTACTGGCTAGAATCATCTGAGAATAGATAAAGTTATTTCACTAAGGTAGACTGCCATACGGCTTTGCATTTCAATTTATTGTCAAAGTGAGGAGGGAATTACGTCCCTGGTTCTGTCTAATAATGAAATGACTACACAGTGGGGTTGGAGGTTCTGACTGATAGAGAGCCTTACAGAGTAAGAGAGCTACAGAAGAGAAAGCAAGCATACAGAATGTGTTGTTAAGAGATATTAAAGGGCTTGAGTAGGACCTGGACATCCCATTCTTTTTAGGCTTCCTGTGTAATTCTTTGCACCTTCATGGTTGAGGGCCGCTGCTCCACGCCCTGGTTCTACCACAGGAACCTTAGGTTACATCATCACCATCTTTTGCCTCCTAATTGGTCTGTCTTCAAACTCCTCCTTGTCCAATCTTGCTACCAGATATACTT